TATTAAGTTAATAGCCCACCTTTGCACCAGGAAAATGGTCTTCAAGACTGATAATATCTTGCTTCTCCCAATCCCTGGCAAAAATCAGAGAATGGAAGTTATGCAAGAAAGCAAAAACAAATTGCAACATAAATGGTACCAGACAGAAGCAATTCTGCCTATTTGTTGAACTTGCAAAGACACGAACCATGGTGAGTATTACACTTTTGTTCTCTCGTTTTATTTTCAAGTTTGTACTCACTTTTCATATACTGTAACTTTGTATATTTCCATCTCTTATCCTGAGGTATTTTATTTGCTTCAAAACATTGGCTTGAGTTTCGTAATCAATTTTGTTGTACCAATGTTTGCTCAGTTGGTTAAACTTTCATGGACAGGGTGCAGAATTCACCGCACCTGAATACAGAATGAAATTGCACTGTGTATCTATTTAAGCTAACATTCACAACCTTGCCCGTTCTGAAGCCAAGAGGGAGGCTTTATCTAGACCTCTGCAATGGGGTTTGTGAGCATGTACAGAGTGCCGTTTGCTTAATATCATGTATCCACTGACTCTCCTTTGGAAAGGCAGAATTTTCAGCACCAAAAACTGCCATGGTCACCAGCTCCATCCACTCAGTCCTATCTACCCTCCTGAAGATTAAAACCAGATGCTGACTCCCTGTCGGCCTGCCAAAGGCACTTTGAATCAGAGATGCCGGGATGCCAAGCTCAGGACCACCAACAGACAGAGCCTGTGACTTACCAGGAGCCCTGCCCCCTGCCAAGTTTGCACGTCAGAAGTCGCATATCCCAGAAATTCTTGAGCTGCTGCAGAGAGAGCTCACATCGGAAGCCCTATAAGATCTTTAACCCCTCTCCTGGAAAGCCAAGCGGAGCATCCACCTCTGGAAGTCCCTCCGCACCCGTGCAGTCCCATTGTGGAAACCTGGAAGATGCTCAATAAAAGAAGTGTTTGGCTGGGGCAAGGACAGCTTTGCCCAGCCCTGGGGAAACTCTTACCTGGAAGTACCCCGATTCTTCCCCTCAAACAACTCCCGCCTGGGAATGCCCCCCCTTTTGGGGGCCGCCCCTTTAGCTCTCATTGCAACATGCCAAGAAGGAAGAGCCAGACACCCACCCTCAATTCAGAGAGGGGTTGTGTGTGTCGAAATATGTTCTTCTCCACCTTGGTATTTCAAAGCTCCAGAGCTTGATCTCCCAGAAGGAAGCCACAACTACATCCAGAAGGATAGATACATTTAAAATCCTGCTTAGCCACTACCTAGGCTCCAAAAATGCAATATCCAAAACAAACAGGCAATAAAATGACTCCTGAGCCTTCAAGGCTGAATTCCAGTCCTCTGAAGAGCAACCCTGGAGGGAAACCCTATTGACTTCAGTGGCAGTTGCTTCTAAGACACACTGAAGACCCGAAGATCTCCAAGCAGCTGGAATGAAGACCTCCACTGTCAATCAGAAGGACACACGGTCTCACAAAGGAGGGAAACACCAGTGGAGACCCCAGCAAAGAGAAGGAAAGGTGCTTCCAGCCACTCTGTATTTTCCTGTTTCTGACTGCCACTGCAAAAACCTGCCCTGAAGATAGCAAAGTTTCACAGCCCCATGACCACGTCACCGGCTGGCTGGAGCAAGACAAGTCTTGCCAGGATGCACCCCAGAAGTTCTCCTCCAAGAAACAGTTGGCCCTTTCCCCATGAACTGGTCCTCAAGTTTCCACGCAGCCTGCCACAAACATCTCTTCCCTGATGTTTCCTCTCTCGAGGTGGCTTTTCCAGCTCAAGGACCACATTCCATTTTAGAGAAGCTTTTGGGGATGCCCAGCAGGGTCCAGACCCCTCCCAAGCCAGCATATTTCCGCTTAAACTTCTTCCTCACAGTAGCTAAGCCTTTCAGCCTTTGTAGCACGGGAAAATAAGACCTGAATGCACAGAAAGCACCAAGCAGCTGGTAGTCGACACAACCACAACCTGCAAAGTTCTGCAGACACAGATCTGGCCCCCAAGCCTGGGCCTGCACCCTTGGTCCACAAACCTATTTTGGGAAAGGTGAAGAGTTCCAGAGATGCTCCTCCAAGCCATAATTCCACACACCCCTTATTCAAAGTGGACTTTCTCGTGTTGTGTATACATGTGAAGTTGTGAGCCATACTGTGTTAAACCGAAATATGAAGATGAGCTATTTGATCACTAAAGCAACCACATGGGCCTGAAAAGTCAACCAATAGGAAGAGCCAGCTTTATTTTTCTGGACAGACCAGGGGCTGTGAAGACTGAACGGGAAGGACCTCAGAGTTACAGGCACGCATCCTTACACAACGACAGTGCTCACAATAACCCACTTTCAAGAGCTGAGCCATCGAACTGTGGGTTATTGTTGAAACATGGGGGCATTTGCTGTCTGAACCCGGCTGCACTCACTGTCCATTGTTTCCTAGCCAAGAGCAACCCATGAAAAGAAGCCGGGTTTGTGCCGAGTAGTTGTGAACTGTTGGTTGTTCTTGGGTAACCAACTGTGGGTTGTTAGGACAGCTGGGTTCAGACAACATGCATCTACTAGTATATACTCAAGATCATGTGAGCTGCAGTCCACAAAAGCTGCCATCACCAAAATGTTAGTGCTGAAGATGCTTTGAGATTCCTTGGTGTAAGTGCTGCAACACTAACCCGCTGGAAACAATTCAAAAGGCATCAACTTCCCTTCATTCAAAATTGGAGTCATGGTCTCGAGTCGGTTCCCAGACTTCTCAAAGGAAAAGCGCCTGCTTGCTAAGGTGGTGGGGTGCAGATAATGCAAACCAAACATAATTGGGCTTCTTGTGCATATATGCTGATGGCTAATCTTGCTAATGGAGCCTTTCAGAACAATGCCCAATACACAAGCCAGTGAAAGTCATTTCCCTTTTGCTCCCAGGGGTGAGCCCTGGAAGTCAATGTCAGCTGAAAAAACAAGAACTTGCATTGGGGGGTGCTTTGCACCAGCATTTGCCTGCCATTAAAAAAAACCAAATATTCAATGCTTTCTCATAGTTCTGCATGTTACTGTATTGCACCTTTCTGGTCATGCTGCTAAGGCAGCTCAGAAAATTCCTAATAAATAACCCTGCAGCCAGCCTGGAAAAGCCAATCAATTTTGCTTGTTTAATTCTCAGGCCTTTTTCTTCATGGAAAGCAAAAGAGAGGGGTCTCAGACTTTGGAGGGGGGGTGTAAGCAGTTCCAGCCAGGCAATCCATCCCTCATGATCCTCAGCCCTACACAAGAGGGATGGCGCTGGTCTACCATGCAGGGTTGTTGTAAGTACTGAGATCATTGTTTGAGAGCACACCAGGGCTAGGAAAGATTCTGGGAAGTTTAGTCCACACTGAGCCAGTGAGATGGGCACAGGATCAGATTGGGTAGAGGACTTTGGCTATTGGACAGATCAGAACTAACTCGAAGAAATAAGAGTTGGAGCAAAGGTTTGGCCTGACTTAAGTTTCTAGAAGCAGAGCACCTGAGCAGAAAAAGGCAGGAGGTGAACTTTTGAAGGTGCATGATTAAAAATCCACTTAGGGTATCTACTCTACCCCACTTCAGCTTCCTACAGGCATCTTCCCCACACTGTCCTACTGGGTCCTTGCAGGCCATGCCATCAGAATAGAGCTTTGGGGCAGCTTTCCAAGACAGAAAGATCCCCTAAGAGAGCTGGGCAGCTTTTCTGAAATACAGAGTGTGGAACCAGACTGACCTTATAATCTAGGAGTTCCCCAATGCACACTTAGCGACAAATCAGCAAGTGATCTTCCGGATTCTCTGAACTTCACAGTGCCATGTCTTTTAATTGCAATATCTGCTCACTGTCCACGAGTGCAAAGATTGCACAACTCAAGCTGTGTCACTTTACACAGACTTCCCCCATTGACTGAAGAGGCATATTCATTCAGTCCATGGGGAACGTTTGTCTCCCTTAGGAAGCCAGCGAGTTGATGAGAGATTCAGAACCCACAAAAAGGAAGTATGGAAAAATGACATATGAGTTGCAACACCTGGTTTAGAGAGCTGCACATTTACAGGCAGAAAGAAACCTTCCAGATGAGGAAAAGTGCCATGTGGAATTCGACAGTCCAGAAATCATCCAGTTATTTTATCAGATCATGGATTGCCAGGTGTCTTTTGTTCTATTCTTTGTCCAGCCATAATTGTGCTTGCACTAATACCTTAAGCACTAATGTACATGGGGTGCTAAAGCGCATCTGTGCTAAATGCTCTTCGAGCAACATGAATTCGTGCTTTCTCCTTCCCACCTGCAAAAGTAAAAAAACTGATCTGCAAGTTTTCACATGACTTGGAATAAGCCAAGCCACAGGTTGTACTCACAGGAATATGAATTCACGGTACTCTTTCGTGAATTACTCCAGCTTCCCTAGCTGTGGCAATTAATGCATGCATCCTAGCAGCAAGAAATGAGCAGGATTTGATCTTCCAAAGCTGTGACTAGATCAAGGAAAGCCGTTAATGCCCTAAGGAGGTAGGCCTTGGACCAGGTCAGATCATTCACAGAGAAAGCACAGGGTGGTCTTTTCCAGTCTCCTTCAGTGCAGGGCCATCCACAACTCTTGGATAGGGGATGCTGGGAAAGGTAGTCCAATGTTCCTAAAGGGCACCTGCCTCAGGAAGTCTGGGCTACACTGACGGGTAAAGAATGGTTTAAAAAAAAAAAAAAAACTGGAGATGCTCAAGTTCAAAACTTGGGATCCTGCATGCAAAGGGCCTTGCCTGGACTTGGATCACAGAATGCTCTCCAGATGTGCTGGACTACAGCTCCCATCTGTCCTGTTCAACATGGGCAGGGAAGCAGGAAGCTGAGCTGCTCCCCCAGAACATCTGGCTGTCCCAGCCGAAGGCAGATTTTCCGAGCTGGACGTCCGTGGAACCCAGTCCAGGGCCTCCGAGAGTGGCCAAGCCCGAAACAAGCAGCCGCACATGGTAACAGCCCGAGCCAAACCCAGGGACCCCCTCACCTTGCAGCTGGGCCGAAAGCACCTCCTGCTGCTGCTTGTACTTCACAGCCACCGCTTCAGCCTCCTTCACCTTCTGCTGGAGATGGTTGTACAGAAAAGCCCCCGAACCCAGGCAGGCCAGCGCCACGAGGAAGAATCCTGTCTGCAGAAGGCCCTTCTGCCTCCTGGAGCACATCCCCGAGCCCATGCCAGGACACCTCCTTGCCAAACGATGCCCTTTTTCTGCCTTCAGCTCTGGCGCATCAGCCCCAAGCCTCGCTCGCACGCACGCACGCACCCGCTCTTCCCCTGCTGGGAGCTACCAGCCCGTCAAAATCCCCTGTAAGTTCTCCCAGTCAGAAGAGCTCTCCTCTTTCCCCTCTTGGCAGAACCAGGCTGGCTTTAGGGTCCTCATAGTCCGCGGCAGCTGGAAGGAAATCGCACCCTTTCTCAAGCCGCGTTCTCCCCGACAGACCAGCTCCAAGCAAACCTGAGCCACGAGGCGTATCCTCCCAGAAGGGCCCGGCCTCTTCGCAGCGCGCTTCCTCTCGGACTTCCAGGTGTGCGCGCGTGTCCGTGCGCAAGCCGGGGCGCGCGCGCGCGCAGGGACGAAGGAAGCCGGAGAAACTTTTTGGAACTGCCGTCCCCTTGTGCTGCGGAGAAGGAAAAGAGGATTTAAAGCCATAAACACACCACCACCCCAACCCACCCAATATCTCCGCGCGCAAAAACTTTCTGGGCACTCCCTTTCCACCCTCAAAGCGCGCCGGGGGGAACGCGTGATATTTATAAATATTTATTTTGCAAAAAGCGCAATAGTTGTACATAGATAATCTTTACAAGGCAATTCGGGGGCGGTTGAGGCTCGATTCGCACGCCCTGCTTGCCTTTCCCCTCAATCTGCAAGCGAAAGAGAATAAGGAAGCCAACCAAACAGCATTCCCAAAGGACGCTTAAAACTGACTGACCAGAAAACTGCGCGGAGATCTGACGGAGGCGACGGCGAAAAGGCCGGATCCGGTTCCTTCCCGCTCCGGGCAGGCAACTTGGAAGGATAACTGGAACCGCGGGGGGGGGGGGCGGGGGGAGCAGTTTGCGGTTCGGAGAGGGCCGGGGAGGTTGATGGAGGAGGATGCGGAGATGGGCGGAGCTGAACTAGGAAGGAAAGGGGCGGCAGCTGGAGCATCAGAAAAAGGGGCTGGACGACGGAGAGCTCCAGGGGGGAGAAGGAGGGGAAGGAGAAGGGAGGGGAAGAGCCGCGGCGGCCGAGTAACGACCGGGATTACGCGTGGGAAGGAGGCGCTTCGCTGTGCGCGGAGCGCGCAGGGAGCGAGGTCGGCGCGGGCTGGCTGGGCACGTTGCCCCGCTGGACACGCCTGGACGGAGCCTGGAAGCCGCTGGGTCCGGCGCGGCACAGCTCGCAAAGCACCCGCCCCTTGCCCCAGCGATCAGTTTCCAACGGAGGACAGACCAGACAGAAGCCTAGGGCGGGCTGCCCCTCCGGCCTGTCCCCAGCATTTGGCACGCACCGCCGTGCAGTGTCGAGGGCCTGTTTAGTTTACGGGTCCGAACGACATTGCTCTGCTGAGAAGCGTGCTTTCCTCTTCCCTCCTCACCCTCTTTTCCTCGAAGGCGGGGCCATTTTCCATCCTGAGCCTGCAAGGAAGGATACAGTTGCACTCGTGTGGATATGAGGTAAAGTGCATATGCGAATCACCCTCCACCAAAACGAAAAAAAGAAAAGAACCGTCCTTGTGTGTGTTTCTAGAATCTGCACGGCTCAGAAAAAGCCTAGCCCATTGTGTAATTTATTTATTAATTTATTTTATTTTTTATTTTTATTTTATTTTATTAAGACATTTTTATGCCGCCCCATTCGCCAAAGCCTCGGGGCGGCTTACAACAGATTTAGTTCCTAGAAACCTGGATTCATTTGAATCACTGTGGATTCCCTCCCCACTCTCATTGCTCTGGATTTTGCTTTCTCGGACCTTCCCTCATCACGACCCCTACATCTACCAGGGTCTGGAAAAGAGCAGGGAAATCAAACCTGTTGGTGACAGGCAGCATCAGAACAACTGTCAGGATATACCTGCACAGTGTGTTTGTTTGTTTAACACATTGTTATGCTGCCCCCCATTGCAACAAAGCCTCAGGGCAGCTCACAGCAAGAACAAAATTATACAATAAAAATATTAAAACCTGGTGCATCTCGGCTTAAAAAATTTAAAATCCTACAAATAACCAATAAATTAACGCTTAAAATAAGTTTTAAATAAAAAGGTCTTAGCCTGGCGCCGAAAAACAAATAACGACGGCGCCAGGCGGACCTCTCTGGGGAGCGCATTCCATAGATGGGGCACCACTGCAGAGAAGGCCCCCCTCCGGGTACTCACCCTCCTAATATCCTTCACGGAGGGCTCCCTGAGAAGGGCCTCTGCCGCCGATCTCAAGGTGTGGGAAGGGCACAGTTGCCGCTGGACACGCAAGCATTCCTGTTCCCAGGACAGCCAAGGGGGAGAGTATTTATTTATTTATTTATTTATTTGGATTTTTTTGTATGCTGTCCCATTCGCATAAGCCTCAGGACAGCTTCCAACATATAAATAAATATCTATGCAAATACATATAAAAACTGGAAACATCCTGGCATAATAATTTAAAATCATTAAATAAAATCAGCAATTAAAATATCATTAAAAATTAAATAGGAATTACCAATTCCTAGGAAAAAAAAGGTCTGCATAGTGATAGAACATCATGTTTATTTCATCTTTATCCTGCCCAATAACTGAGCCGCTCTGGGCAGGTAACAAAAGTTAAACGTAAACGAAGGTCATAAAGACACAGATATTAAAAGAATGAAACCACAGTAGCCATTGCTATGATCCAGCAGAGAAGAGGTACAGAATAAAAGGGGATATAAAGAAACTAAGTTAAATTATTTCAGTATTAGGAAAATAAAAACATCTCCCGCTGGAGCCAAAAAGAACACAAAGTAGGTGCCAAGTACTCCTCCTTGGAGAGTTCATTCCAGAACAAACAAAAAGGTTTCTTTCCTGCCCCACTTCTTTTGGAAGGGGCTCCTAGGGAAGAACCCCAAGGGTCCAGAGGAGGCTATCCTTCAGATCGCCGGATAACGTATAGAAACAGAGCGAGTCGGAAGGGGTCTCCCGGGCCATCTAGTCTGACCTCCGGCACCAGCCGGCTCCGCTCACGACATGCCCGCCATGTGCATATCATACCAACATATGTCTGTTCTTCCCTGCACGGATCTTGTAGTTTCAGAAGCACTTTCCGCTGTGCTCACACATGTCATTTTAAAGTCCGACTGCACCACATAAAGGCGCCGGAGCGAAGCCACTGAACATCCAGCCGGCTCCCATCACTGCATCCCCTGGCAGTGAAGCACAGAGGTGAAGTCTGTCTTGTGTGAAGTCCTCTTTGGGTGGTGTGTTTCTCTCCTGAAGCAATTCAGACGTGTCTCCCCCACCCTGGCATGCCTGTGAGCCCAGCCTGGCCTTAATCCCACTTACGAAATGGGAGCTGGTGTAATGCAGCACTGCAGAAGCGCAAAGTGATTATGAGTGTACATGGCAGGGTGGGAACAATTCCCCGGGGATTTATCAGCCTCTGGGGGAGTTGGGAACATTAGGGCGGGGGGGGGGGGGTGGGAGTCCTGCAGGAATACTGTCCCCTTCTGCCGCATTGTGTATTTGCATTTCAGTGCCTCCTTTTTTCAAGCAGAAGTGTAAATATTTGCCAAACTATAATTGTGTTTAATGCCTCTCTCCTTCCTCCTCGTTGTCTCTTTGTTTTATCATGCAGAAGAAGGGCAGGACTAGAATTGAAGCCCGTGGTAAACACAAGCAGGTCAAATCCCTCTTGGTCAGGCCAGGGCCCATCTGGGGAGATACGCTGTTTGCCAGCCATTTGCCAGGACTTTTGAGAAGCCCTCGCAACTGCCGTGCTTTCGTTTTGCTGCTTGCCTGTGGAGCCTAGTCTCCTGTCTCCAAGAGGGGACAGCTTTGCACTCTAGGAAGCTGGTGCATTGGGCCTCAAAGAGGATGGCATCCTCGCCATGTGGCCATGGAAATTTAAGCGGAAGGAGTATAAGCAAGCTGTCTGTGCAATTGCCCATATTTTCCTTTCCCTTTAGCAGTCTGTCTCGGCCCGCGCCATGTGGTCTCACACATGCTAACCAAGAAAAGGCATTTCCGAGCATACAGAGAGAGCATAACCAGCTAAACTTCAGATTGCTAGGCTGCTAAAGACCCGTGAGAGACACACTGCAGAGGAGGTGTGACTCCCACGTCCGCAGGGATCCTCACCCATTACAGCTTTTATTTGCGCTACCCCTGGTGCTGGACCTCACCCCACAAAAACAGGTTCACCACCCTGGGTAGCTCCCGTGAAGTTCAAAGTAAAAGCTGCACTGGGCAAGGAACCCCCAACATGGAAGTCAGGGACTTCTCTTTCCTTCACTGACAAGCCTGCAGGATCTCGGAGCTGCGGACTCGGTTGTGCGAGATCTTGGTCGTGCATTTCAGAATTGGCTCTGCAAACCTGTGGCTGGGTTTGAGGACGCTGGTTTTTTGCTCGGACAGAAACACGGGTCTATGCGGCAAGGTTTTATCGAATCGGGCAGGCGTGCCCACACCGAAGCATGGTGCCGAGTCTCTCTCTCGTGGCAGCACGGGGCAGTGCAGGCCTTCAGAGAGCAAGGGTGCGGCAGCAAAATCACACAGAGTGGGCCAGGCAGAGCAGACCCTGCTCCGAGCTGAGCTCCTTTTCTGCAGCTGGGTATAAAAAATGCTCCAGAAAAGGAAGGTTTTCAGATAAGAACCGTCATCTTTTTGAGTTTACAAAAATGCTGGGAGTTCGTCACACGTTAATGATTGGGAAGAGGAAGCGGCACAGTTTTATGCATTGAAAATATTGAGAATAAATGCTGGGGTGGATTAACCAACCATTCAAGGTGCATTTCTATGGACGTTTAGGCAGAAAAAAGGCATGCAGTTCCCAACATTCCCGTCTTCAAGGGTCATTTGCTAGACCCCATGTGGTCTTGGCTCCCAATTTTATTTCCCAGAACTAAAATAAAATAAAATAAAATAAAATAATTATTTATTTACTGCACAGAACCGTGTGTGCCTATAAGGCCAGTGGAAGAGTTTACCCCCCTATACAACTTCCATGCAACTTTCAAGGATAATTGTAGCTGGGGCAGGAAGGGTTAATTCTCTCCCCAAATGCCCCATGTTGTCCCTCATTAAAACAAAACAAAACAAAATTCCTCCTCTCTGGCAGTTAAGCATGGGGGAAATCTATTGTTTTCCGGCCAGTCCAGATCAGAAAATAATCTGGAGAATTTGTAATTGGTGATGATACAGACTGGCAGAGATACAGATTGGCTGGCTTTGCCCTCCAGTGATAAAGGATTATTATGGGTTATCAGTTGTGGGTCATTATGACTTATTTATTAGGATGTATTTATTGTTGGGGGACTGCAGGTGGCGCAGTGGTTTAAACCGCTGTGCTGCTGGGCTGGTTGATCGAAAGGTCGCCGGTTCAGATCTGCACAACGGGGTGAGTTCCCGTTGCCCCGTCCCAGCTCCTGCCAACCTTGCAGCTCGAAAGCATGCAAATGCAAGCAGATAAAAAGGTGCCCCTTCGGTGGGCAGGTAGCAGCGTTCCGTGCACTTCGGTGTTCAGTCATGCCGGCCACACGACCACGGAGACCGTCTGCGGACAAACGCTGGCTCCCTAGGCCAGGAAACGGGGATGAGCACCGCCCCCTGGAGTCAGGCGTGACTGGACGTCACGTCAAGGGGAAACCTTTGCCTTACCTTTTTTATTGCTGATTTGTCGTAAGCTGTCCAGAGACTTACAGTAATTGGATGGCTTAGAAACGCCCTAATGAATAATAATAAATAAATAGTCCTCTAGGCACATCTGTTCTGCAGATGTGTGCCCCGAATCTGTGAAGTGCTGAGCAACACTCCAGGAATGCGGCGGAGTGGCCAGCGTCTCAATTCGTTCTGGAGCGGTGACGTTTACTGTGGTCTGGTAAGCACAGACCTTTGTAGCTGTTCGGGAGTTTACCAAGTCTGGAAAACAATAACATGTTTGTTTAAAACAGTTATATACTGTTGCACATCTAAACATATCTGGAGCAGCAAATCATGAAGAGAGGAAAAAATTAAAACGCCAAATGAGTTCTGCAGAAAGGGGCCCACCACGATGAAGGCCCCACTCTGGGGAGACGCTGGACGCTCTTCTTCATCTTCTGGCACAAAGGCTGGGCACTTGTGTCTTTTGGGTGTCCAGTTTCCCCCACATTACCATATCAGTGACGCTGGAAAGAGGACACAAGGAGAATGACACAGAGAGGGGAAGTTTCTTCTTTAAACAAGCTTCTGGTTAATTTAATATAATGTAACACTTGTATATTTTGTTGCGGATTGCTGCTTTTGGTGAATTTATTGGCTGTATTATGCTGTGTGGCTAGATTTTGAGATGTTATGTAGTTTAGCTGTTTTATCTGATGAATTGTTTTAATGTATTTTTACTGCACCCTAAGTATTTTATGCTGTTTGGATGTGTGTAAGCTCCCCAGAAAAGCTTCGGGTTATGGAGTGATGTAGAAATGGAATTAAGTAAGTGTTGCCTAGGAAAAAAAAAAAAAGGCTCTGGTTTAGATTAAAACGCTCTGTGCAGTTGATGGGCAGATGGAGGTCCCCACAGAGGGAGGGGAGATTTTAAGCTTCTGATACCTGCCGGTGGAAATTGGGGTACTGAAGGCCAGTGGGGGGGGGAGGTTCCTATCCATACCTAAGCACACTTTCTCTCCAGTGTGACCCCAAACCACCAGCCATCACACTGAATATTTGATAAGTGGTTGAAAAGCTCAGGTCAGTGATAAAAACATAAAATATTAGCAACATACACTATATGTAATATTTATTTTATTTATTTATTTAGAAAATTACTATGCCGTCCCATTTGCCGAAGCCTCGGGGCGGCTCACAAACATAAATAACTTCGATAAAATAATATAAATTAACAGTATAAATTAAGTCGCCCTGGTAATATAATAGATATTAAGGATAAGCATATTCCAATAAAATTGCAATTCTGTTCAAAGTGAACAGTGCCGTACCGACCGAAGAGCTGATTCTGAAAAAGATCCTGGACCACACGGAAATGGATGAACTGACTCTGTCTTTGAAGGGGAAGGAAGATACATACTTCTATCAAACTTGGAGTCTCGGTTATCATCGGTTAAAGAAATGGGACTATATGTAGAATTGGATATGGTTATTAATTGTAATTAGAATAAGATGTCAACCCAGTATGTCCGATGCCTTGGGAATAATTGCTGTTTTTTTAGTTTAAACCTGTAGAGAAATAGCAAAGTGAACAGTACCTTCTGCAATGCCATTGCAGGTGCTGCTACTCTCGAGTTGCTGCTTTGGGTGAGAAGAGGCAGGTTGCAATTGCTGATTCTTGCACTCTTGCATCCTAATTCTCAAGCGCTATAGCCCTTCCCTGCAGGACTATCCTGCAGCAAGGGCAGGATTTCAGCAACAGCATAACTCCAAGCAGAAAAAGGAGCTTGTTTCAGCTTCTGGGATCCTCTCTTGCCTTCTGCCCTTTGCTCCCTGCCAGGGATGCTTCTCCCGATCTTTGGCCTGCAGGTGATGATGGACTGGCCTCATCCTGCTTTTGCGGCTTCAACAGGTGATGGTCACCTGCGTAAGGCTAGTGTGTCAGACTGCTGGAGGTGGCATCAGAGCTTTACCGAATGCGCCATTGTCTCCTCGAGAGGCAGTGTGGTGTAGTGGTGAGAGTGCTGCTGCCTTGGGTCATGAATCTCCCTTTGGGGCCGGTCACGGACGCCCAGCCGTGCCTACCTTCCAGGGCTGATGGGAGGATAAAATGCGAAGGGAACCGCAGGATTAGAGAGGAGTCTGGCGTTCCTTGCGTGAAAAGGGGGGCTATAAATATAATGAATCAATAAAAGTTTAAAAGTGTGTTTTGAAAGGATGCTGCACCCCCCCCTCCCCGCTTCTAGCCTGCAACACGCCCCCAGCAGCCGCGAGGTGGCGCCTTCCCCTCGCCATCCCTGCCTCTTTCGGCACCGGTCTGGGCGGGAGGCGCTGGCGGGGGGGGCGTGCTCGGAGCAAATCAGAAAAAAAAGAAGCAGCTGGGGGGCTGATTAGTGCCGGCAGCTGCGCCTGGCGCGGGGCATGCTGGGCCATGGAGTCCTTGCTCCCGCTGGGCTGAGAGGTTGCCAGGGCGAGGGACTACCTTTCCCGGAAGCCTTTGCGCGCCGCAGGGCAGGCTTTGGGAGGGAGCCCGCCCCACGGAAAAGGGGGGAGGGGCCCGCGCTTGCCTTCTCTCGCTGCCCAAGAGAAGGAAGAGGGGTAGGGGGCTGCAAGGTCGCGGAGGAGCGGTGCCCCGGCTGCTGGAAACGAAGGCAGGCGACCCCAGAGCGGACCCTGGAGCTTGCTTTGGCCAGAAACTTCGCAGTAAGTTTGGGAGGGGTGGGGGCTTGGGGAGGGGACGCTTGGGAGGGCGCGTCGCAGCCGGGGGGGGGGTGGAAGCGGGGCGGTCGGAGCCCCCGACGTGCGTTTAACAGCAGCTTGATAGAATGCTGCCGAACTGCCAAATACACACACACACAAACACGCACACGCGCGCACCCCCCCCCCAGCAGGGTCCTCGAAAGGATTCGTGGGACGCAGCCTCGCTTCCCCCTCGGGGGCGAAGAAGCGCCGCTGCAGGAGCCGGTGCAGAAGTTGGCAGCCCCCGCCGGGGTGCGGGCGGCGGGCGCTGTTGCGCGGCTGCTGCCTCGCGGGGCCCGGGGAGGGTCGTGTGGCGGGCGGGACGCGTGAGCGGGGGTCTTCTGCGCGGCGCCCGGGAGACCCCGCCGGGCGGGTGCGCGCCGAGCCTTCCCGCCGCGGCTCGCGGGGCTGCCCTCGCCCGGCGGCGCGCCCAAGGCAGAGGGGCCGCGGCCGAGGCCCGGC